GACTCCACTCATCCTGGGGCTACACTGACATTTTTTAGAAAAGGAGCAGATAATTTCACGAGCCCCCTTTATCCATTCAGCCTCCTTTCCACATATTGAACAGGACGCTGTCTTCGTGGAGCATTGAGGAACGAGGCGTTGAAGGCCATTCCCTTGCAATGAAACAATGCAGTGTATTGTTTTGCTGGGCTGTAGCAGACAGTGCTCCTTCTCCTCTAGCCAGCAATTGTGCCCAGCCCCTTAGCTAATCCCATCCTGCCCTCATCTCGCACAAGGGGTCGTTTTAGTCTAAGGGGATGAGATCGTCTGGCTAGTTATTGCACAAGAGGTCATATATCTTTGCAGGTGCCAAGTGAGTCAAACCCAACCGAAAGAGTTACAAATGGACCCGCAAATGGATCCCGAGGGGCGGAGAGTTGGTGTTCCTAGTTCAGCGGGGGCCAATTGTTTTGGCAGGCATGCCACAAATTCACCCCATGCCACCCCTGAGTGCCACTTCCCTTCCCCTGCATGATCAACAGCTCTGCTTTTTGCTTCCTGCCTGTGCTCCCTGCCCAATCTGCTACTCTGTTTTTGGCTCCCGGCCCTATCTTCCCCTGTGCTGCCCCCATCCCTCTCTCATCCGCCGTGTGCCACACACAGGAGCTCCCCATGCCACTTGGGATATGCGTGCAGCAGGTTGGCCACTCCTGTGCTACTGGGAGACTGGCATATGGGTATTGGTCTAAGGATATAAGCAGACAAGGAAAATCCGATATCTTTTATTAGACCAACTCAAATAGTTGGAAAAATAGTGGGAGACTGGGGAATTTAAAGCCTTGCTGCTAAGGAAGCTGGTAGCCCAGCTAGCATTGACTTCAGCGGTGCAGCATCACAGTCTAATATGCATTAGTGCAAATGCTTATACAAGTGGATGTCTCTCTCTCTCTTGCTGTTTTTTGTCTCCTGTCTTTGCAGCCTCCTTGGCTATTCTCTGCAGCCTGAAACACTCTTCCGAAGACTGTCAAGAAACTGGGGCCACGTATATTAAATGCGACATCCGTGTTACAGTGGGCACGGACAGTGTGACTGGGCCTGCACCGTACATATATTTATGCGATGATGACATTCTTCCATGGGACCAGACAACCAGCGACTCCTCCCTACCCTATTTTACTGGCCTCTTTTTCAGGTTGGTCGCAGCTCTTTCCCCCTCTTGAGTGGGCATGCTTCTGCTTGCTATGTTTTCGGCGTCAATCATCCCTTTGCAGAATTGAACCCCATCTGATTATAGGCTTAGGGGAAGGTAGCTGTCTGTCCCCCAGGCTGGTGATAGCACAGCGATGGGGCCTGCAGACCGCTAGAGAGCTCCGTTGGGTTGTGAAATCCGTTCGGTACACATATCAGAGCATCTCCTCCTTGTCTCTTAAAGTGTTCGAGAAACATTGGAAAATCCATCTAGTAAACAGCCCGCTTTGTTCCTTCTTAGGTTTTAATATTTATCTTCCCATCCAAAGCAACATCTGGTGGATGCCAATGGGGAAAAAGATTAGTCATTATGAAAAACAGAAGGATTCTTCCCCTCCCCCTGCCCTCAGCACATACTTCCCATCTCCAAACAGCCACGAATAAAAGTTGCAGAGAAATCCAGCGGGCTGTAGGTTTACTCAACGAAGGTGCACAGACAAGCAAAGTACCTTTCAGGGCCAAATCATCTGCTGAGATAAATTGGTACCACTGCATTGATTTTAATGGAGCTGTTCCTGTTTACACCTATGGGGAATTCAGCTCTAAAAGGTTGGGGAGGAGGGGGAGGCTTGGTGGAAAGGAACAAACAAAAGAATAAAACTTTCCAATTTGTTCCCCCCCCCACCCCGGGTCCTCCTTTCTAAACAAATAGAAAATCAGAGCAGGATCACAATGGGTGGTCCAAGGTTTTCAGGAGACTCGGGGCAAATTCTCAGCTGATGTAAATTAGCATGGTTCAGACAACTTCCGCAGAGCTACCCCGATTTGACGCCGAAGACCTGGCTCTGTCATCTCCTATTGTGAAATACTAATTAATCAATGATTACTGATGCCCTGCGGTGAGAGAAGCAAGCACTCCAGTATGATCTGAGCAAGGAGGGCAAAACTAGAGGCAGTCAAACTTCTTTTTTTTTTTTCTTTCAATGCCAGAAACTGTGAAGCTAGCCCGGTTTGAGCTTGCAAGGCGTTGAATCTCCATTTTTCCGCACATCACTGTGACTCTCAGCATCTTTGCTGGAGTCCGCTGACTTACATTCATAGAAAGCAGGCATCGGGGAGAAGCGAAGCAAGTTTATTAGGTCAGATCCTGGAGCTATCCTCATATACATCAATTGAGGATATGTCCCGTTGCTTACTTTTTTCTATTTACGCTGCAGGCCCCTTTCCAAACAATGTGGACTGCACGGACACTTCAATATTTGACCCATGAAACTCAGGGAGACTGGGAGAGAGGGAGATAAAATGCCTTGGAAGTCATCAGTCCATCTCCTTACCAAACTAGTTGTTTCCTGTTGCTTTCCCCCACCAGTCTCATAATGCAAACTCTATTATTTCCACTGTGGGGAAACCAGTCCTCAGTCTGAAAGTGCTCCCTCCTTTTTTTTTTTTCCTTTCCCATTTCACCAACTTTGCTGATCCTTTTAATATGCTAAAAATGCCATCTCCCTGCAGTATTTACCCTCTGCTCATATTGGGGATTGTTATAAGAACAGGTCAGGTCTTTTCTGATGAAATGATTTTTCACCAGGAAATTCTGATTCCTTGAAACTGAAACTAGGGAAGGGATTGGTTCTAATAAATCGCTGTCAGAGTGTGACCCATTTTGATGTTATCCAAACTAATAAAAAAGAATTTGTTTCCAAAAGAGACCTTCGTCCTGAAATGTTAGTGAATTTAATCTAAAAAAAATAAAAAGATAAAATAATGCTCAAGATGGGAATTAAATCCTTTGAAATTATTGAATAGATATAAACAAAACTATTACAAAAGTACTGTTTCATGGAATTTCTCAAAATTCAGCTTTTTTCCCCTAGATTCACAAAGAGGAAAAAAAAAATCAGAATCTCAAAACTTTTTTGCAGAATAGGAAAACAGTTTCTTTCCCAGCTCTAATTGTTTGCCTTCCTTTCTGGTCATTCGCCCATGCAGTCTAGTAATGGAGCTTTTCCTGATTTGCTCTGTTGTGACCAGGCATTCAGGACTCAGGTATTTCATAGATTTCATAGATTTTCAGGGTCAAAAGGGACCTCAGCAGGTCATCGAGTCCAACCCCCTGCTCCGTATTAAATGCTTAATTTTAATTCCAACTTCAGTACGAGCAAATGAAAAATACAGTAGTGGTTCCAGTTGGTGGGTCCTAAAATCAGTTGTTCCTTTGCTTCACTTCTCTACAATCTCCAGTTTGCTAATAACTTTCCAGAGTTTCTGTGCCCAGGAAAAAACTGACAGCTTCAGATGCAGTTCATAGATTCATAAAAGTAGGGTCGGGATTCATAAAAGTAGGGTCCCCAAGTAGGGACCTTGTAGATGTTAGGGGACTCTACTGACTGGATCCTTTAACTTCAAAGACAACACATTAATTTCCTGGGTCTGATTGCTGTTGTCAGCAGAGAGATCTCCCCTGGTTTCCATGCAAAGCCTATCAGACTGACTCTATTTATAGGAAGATATGGATATATCTTAGGCTATAAACATGTGCATTATTTGAAGGATGCAGCATTTCCTTACAGCAGAAAACACATGAAGCAGCTTTGAACGTTACCCACTGAATTACCGTGCAGGACGAGAATAGTTCTCAAAGTGTTGATATCAAAAGCTAGCATAGTTCCCTACGGCTGGCTTTTGATTATTGATACAGTGGAGGGAAAGGTTCATTTAAATATATCAATAAAAACCCACCGTTAAAACAGAACGGATACTTGTGATGATGTTTTGTTAACTCAGCTGCTTTCTGTCCCGCACCTCCTATTGTGCTAAAAGAGAATGGCAGTAAAACAAACACCCTCTGAAAGCATTGTGAAAACGGCAGCTATTTATTCGTAAAGCCGAGTAGAGCGCTCGGCTTGGTTTGAAAGCTCTAGGTTCATCCATTTGGCAGGTTCCCTCCCCCCCGAAAAAGTTTTGAGGGCCAGATCCTCCAATTGGCTGCCTTCAATGGTACTCAGAGGCACAACTTTCTTAGATGCTATTGAAAATCCCATTTAGCCTGCGTTCGGAGGTCCTCAAAGACTTTGGAGAATCCCGTCTCTGCGTTTTTAGGTGCCATTTGGAAATCTGTCCTTACCTGCCTGGTTAGAGGAGTGGGACACATTCAGAGCGGAGTCTGCCTGACTGTAACTTAATGCCTTTTCAGGCTTTCATCATATAAGTGCACAATCCAGCGTCACAATTGGCACCGGTTAAACAGGCTTGATTCTCCACTGCCGTCTTACCTTGTTCCACACTGAATCAAACGGTAGCACCCATTTTATACAGGTGTAAATGGCTACAAAGGGTGTGAGGAGGGTAGTGCAGAAAAGGGCCCAGGGACCAAGCTGTTTTATCTGTTGCTTGCACAAGTGATAGAAGAAGACTGTCCTTTGCTTTAGATTTAGCTGGTGGCCAGGACCATTAAGGGAGCAGTTGCTACATATCTGGCTGGGATGCAATGGGTCTGTGGATAAACAGGGGCTTTTAGTTTCCTAGCATCAGAACTACATTCCTACACCAAGCAAATCCATGGGGTTTTTGAAGGGAAATGTGTGGGGAGGGAAAGAAATGCAAACGGCCTTCATAATAAATACAAATGGGCATTATATGTCACGGGCCCGATACAAATCATGCTGAGTTAATTTGGAAAGTGTCCCATTGATATCAAGGATATAGCTTGTAGCCGGGTTGGTCTAAGGACATCGGCAGACAGGGTTCTTTGGGTAACTCCGATACCTTTTATTAGACCAACTCCAACAGTTGGAAAAATTCTTCTTTGCAAGCTCGCGGTTGTTTTCAGGTATTTATACCTGCAAGCTTGCAAAGAAGCATTTTTTCCCCAATGATTTGAGTTGGACTAATAAAAGATATCAGATTTACCCAGAGAACCTTGTCTGCCATTGATTTCAAGGGACTTTGGGTTACACCCCTACAGCTCCCTCTACTAAAAGGCTAACAAAGTGAGCAGCTGTCAGCAGCAGCACCCTGCAAGAGCACCTCTTCCTAATACCTCTTCTCTTACTTCTGCTCTCTATGCGAGAGGAGCCTTTACAGCTTAGAGCGAGTGTCTGCTAGTATAACTGGCACATATATCGAATCTGCTTAGTCTGGGCTGTTAAGTAAGTTTAATTAATTTACTAAGTTAATGTTCCAATGCCAGCAACAAAGCATCATTGCAATCAGCTGGGTAGCAGGAATTGGAACCCTTAAATGAGCTCATTTTTTCACAGTTGGAATTAGGGACCAGTTAGCCAGTTGTGTGGTTTTTCCAATTTCTCCGCGTGCCCTAAGGGAGTTGCAAGTTATTCATTTCCCATTGCTAAGTGTGAATAAGAGAGGAGAAGGGGAAAAAGGGAAAGGAAAAAAAAAACAAAAACCAACCCAAGAAACCCCACTCAGGGTGTGCGTCCATCTCAGACTCTAGACACGGCTATTCCCTAGTCATTGTCTGCCCTGTTTTCCCCCCGTCTTCATCCTGGAACAGCATTTGCTGCCCATTTGTAACAGTTTGGGGAAGCAGAACGGCATCACTGAGAGATATTTACTGCGTGTATTTTCATCGGGAGTGTTTGCAGATAAAGGGAGGAAAAACAAATAAACAATACAAGAATGGAAACAAAATTACCGAAATTTGCAAAGTTTGACAAATGGTGGCCAGGAGTTGCCACAAGCTAATGGCTCGCAATGATTAATAAGAGTAAAAATAATTGCATTTCATTAAGATTGATGACACCCCATTTAACCTCCCTTCTCGTTTCAGCCCTAAAGTGGAAAGAGATGAAGTTCTCATCTATAATAGCTCCTGTAACATTACCATGGAAACTGAGGCAGAGATGGAGTGTGAGGGAGCTAATCAGCCAATTACCGCCAAGATTACTGAGATACGGAAAAGCTGGGGCCAGAACACTCAGGTATAATCAAATCTTTTTTACAGACTGATTCAAACAGCTTAAAATTAAATTTGTAATATTGTGTACATTTAAAGGGTGGGGGGGGAAAACAATTTGGGCTGAGCAGCAGTAATCTATAATATTAAATGCTCTCCAACTTTGAATAGCGGTTCGAATGCACAGCTGCTGAATTAATGGTTAACTATGGCTAATCGTATATTTTATCAAATAGAAATGAAGGCTGCCTCATTTCCTTTAACTTCCTTCGGAGTTTATGCATTTTCCTCCCCCCCCACCCAAACTCCCTTTTTATGTACAAATGCTAGCTCTATTCCAAAGCACCGTTTCTTTATATCTATCCCCTCGATCAAAGAGGCTGCTTGCGAGACCAGGAGTTTTAAGTCACCTTGTGAGAGTACATGCAGCACTAGTTTTATTTGAAAGAGTCTGACTCTGGATGTGTTTGCTCGTTGTACATAAAATAGGACTGTGACGGTGCAAGGGAGAGACGGGCAGAACGCGTGCGCCTATGCGTGTGCAATAATCCAGCAACGGCATTTGTTTCCCACTGAACAGCTTGTAAAAACTTGATCTCAGAATTGCAGTTGCAAACTTGCGATGATCTCCCTTCAAAGCATCTCAGCTGCAGCCGAGCTCAGCTCCGCACATGAAATGAAGTCTCGCTGGCACAGCGGTAGTGAAAGTGGGGTAGAAGATTTAGCGGACATAAAACATTTCTTTGACCCCGCTGTCATGCCAAAGGTTACTTGCTCATAATCTCCAAAACAGACTGCGTGGGAGTGCCGAGGTATCTGACTGTTATTAGAAGCTGCTATCCTCGTGGATGTGGGGAGTGCTTCGACATCCAAGCGTCTTCAACTCTCTGGGGCTGATCCTCTCCTCCCGTGCACTGCTGTAACTCAGGAGTAACTCTTTTGAAGCCGGTGGCATTATTGCTGTGCTAAACCGGCATGAGAGAAGTCAAATGCCTAACCCCGCTCAGCAGAATCAGTTCTGCCCTTTCTCTTGGTGAGGTCGATAATCTGATTATCAGGCAATCTACTAAGCACTGATGAGACCTAGAAAACTCCAGGCCTGTGCTTGCTCTTCTGTTGATCTTAAAATGATCTTAAAAAGATTTCACGGGAATTGTTAAGTGTGTTGTCCTAGGCTGCAATTTTCCCACTTGCAGTGGACCACTTCAGAGATGCGCTCCATCTCAGCAGTAGGTGCAGCAATCCCAGACCTGGCTATCCCCTGGCCCAGCAATCCCTTTCTGTTTTAAAGCACCAGACAGAAGTCTTTACTCTGTCGGCCCTTCTGCTTTTGGTGTAGAGCTGCCCTGGTTCCTCCTGAATGAATGAAACATGTTGCAGCCGATGTGCAATCACTTCTCTTTAAGATATTGTTTAATTGGGTTGTTTCTAGAGCCCACAACCCTGGCTTCTCGCAGGCTAAATGGAACATTTCTTTCCCTGCCGGTGCGGCCCGCTTGCACATTTCCTGGCTTCCTCTCCTTTTCTAGGAGCCCCTGTTCATGTATTTCCTCCTTTGTTAAGCAGCGTCGGTGGCTGGGCTATCAGGAGTGTGCATAGCTAAGGGGAGACGTTTTAGTTAAACGTTGCAGCGGGGCCAAAAGAGAGACCTCTTCAGGCCAAAATGCAGCTGCTTTTATTCTATTTCCCCCCCAAATGAAATGCTCGGAGTATTCCCAACAGCCCCATAAAGTGCCGGTTGTGGCGTCTGTGAGCTCCCGCCTGCTACTGGCAGGAATCGGCTGCATTTCAGAAATCCTGCAATCCTGGTGAGGAGATTGTGTGCTAGCTTGAGTACTGGAAGTCTGTGCTTTTTGGGATGGTGAGTGACCTGAGTTGTGTCTCCGCTGGAAGCCGTGCCGCGCAGCACAATGAAAACCTATTCAAACCCTTGGGGACTTCAGAAAACTTAGGGGAAGGGAAAGGGGGCTGTGCAAAACTAGGGAGGCTTTTGGCTTTGCAAAGCCTCATCGTTTGGGTTTTGGTTCTGCTTAATGAAACCACAGGCCATCTGGAATCAGGCCTCTGTTATGCCCCAAATCGGGAGGGACTGCGGGGGTGACTGGGTGGGGAATTCAGATAAATGGTTTCAATTTGGGTCCCTTCCTAGCTGACAGCGCCCTGGTAAGATTTATGGGTCAGCGCAGCATATGCGTGCTTCACTGTAGAGGTTTAAATCATGTTGTGTGAACTAGCCTTACCTTTCCATTGGAAATAATGCTCCCCAGCATCAGTACCAGACAGTGGAAAGTATTATTAGCATCCTGCGCATGGGGATAAAGGAACTATTAGCAAGCAGCCGAGCTGCTGTGGAAGTCATGGGATGCCATCACTTCTACACTAACACCTTGCACTTGTATCACCCTTTTCATCGAAGGTCCCCAAAGCGCTGCACGGATGTGTGCCCTGATCCTCAGCTGCTGTCAGTTGATGTAGCTCCATAGGGCTGTAGCCCGACTGATATGCTCCAGCTCAATATTGGGTGGGCTATAATTACTATTTGCTCTTTGTATTGAGGGAATGTCTATATGCCCAAATTATGAACAGGTTTGTGTTGAGCAGACACAAAGTAAGAGACAGCCCCTACCCCAAAAGGCTTTGAATTTCATTTGTGGCAAGCTGCAGCAGCTCCTTGTGACAAGGGAGTAGGGTGGTGGTGAGAGTGTGAGCAATGACGATAAGGAGCCTGTAGTTACAATGGCTGTTAATGTTAGTGAGGAAACATAGGCCAGCAGTTAGGGCACAAGCAGAGAGCTCAGCTCCAATCCTTCCCATGCAACCTTGACTGAATCATTTAGAAACCAATCCAAAATGGGATTTGGGAAGCTGGTTGGTGGAGCTGGACTCTCAAATCCTGTGCTAGGGGTATAGGTTGTAGCCCTGTTGGTCTAAGGACATTGGCAGACAAGCTCCTTTGGGTGAATCTGATATCTTTTATTAGACCAACTCCAACAGTTGGCAACATTCTTCTTTGCAAGCTTTTGGGTACAAATACCCTTTGTCAGGCTGAGGAAGCATCTGCAGTCGGTGTGTGTGCTCCTCCTGGAAGGAATGAATAGTAAGGAAGCCAGAGGCTGGTATGCATGCAAGAAAGCCAGTCAGTGAAGATGTAAATTGAAGAGTCATTGACTCTTGAATCACAGAACCAACTGCAGAAGCTTCCTCAGTCGGATGAAGGGTATTTGTACCCGAAAGCTTGCAAAGACTAATTTTTCCAACTGTTTGAGTTGGTCTAATAAAAGATATCGGATTTACCCAAAGAACCTTGTCTGCCTAAATCCTGTGCTAGGCTTCCTGGACAAAGTATAAGGAAAAAAGCATCTCAGTGTGGCATGGAAAGCATCCTGCAGGCAGAACAAGGGCTGTGTAGCCAGTGGCGTAGCACTGAGGGCAGGGTCTTACACTCCTTCCCCTCCCTTTGGAGTTTGGGTGCCAGGTTTAGGACTGCAAGGAGGTGGCTCATCCACTCTGGATCCCTGGCTTAGACTCCTTGCCTAACGTTGGTGCCTGCAGCCTTCATTTCAAACATGGGATAGGGGTTGCTTATTCCTTTTAAGTCTTGACTACAGGAGGAGGACGAGGTGTTGATGGTGCTGTGCCCAGTTGGTATTGTAGCTCTGTGGTTCGAGGGTGTGGGTTACCTGGATTCAGAACCAAGCTGTCATTTCCTAAATCCCCATGTTCGGGGCTGCTCTGGGCTGTTTTTGAGTGGCAATCTGCACCCCTTGTGTTTGAAGCTGTTCCAGACTGCAGAAAATAGTTCAAGATTCAGTAGACCAGCAACAGGGAGAGGGAGGGGAGAAAGGTAGAAACAGAGACATAGGCAGGACTCAAGTGTCTTGGGCACTCATAGGAGAGAGAAGAGTCCTGCCCTTGCTAGTTCGGAGGGTAAAATGCATAACCACACCAGGGGCTGGAACAAAGGATGCGCCCCACTTTAACCGCTCGGTGAGAGAGTCGTGCTAACTTTTGCTTTCTCTCTGTGAGCGAGGCACGGAGTTGCTCCACACTGCCAAGACTGTGGCATGTCTACATATGAGGAGGGACAACACTGTAGATGCTTAGGGAGCTTTTCGGGCAAAGAACTGAAGAGCCTCTGGTGTCAGGGCATCTCCAGGAAGGCATTGCAAGCAGCAAAGGCAGCATGGGGCAGCTCGTCGAGGAATGAATGAGGCAAGCATTTCATAAGTGGTGCGGAGGAGACGTTGGGAAAGCATCGCAAGATTAGACAAGAGGAGCTAGTTGTGGAAGGGCAGGGCTGAGAGGGGACTTGAAGCTGAGTGCAAGAGGCTTGGACTTGTTGTGGGAAGACAGAGGGAACCAAAGAGGGACGGCAAACTCTTTGGGACAGGGACTGCCTTTGCTTTGTCCTTGCTCTGCTGTCTTTGCAGGGCGGTTGTGAAATAGCCTTCTCATGGGGAGCAGTGCAAACTGATTTTAAGGTGGGCCTTGATAAGTTTGTGAGCACGATGACATGGCACCTGCAGTCATAGGAGCCTGGTCCTCATGAGCCAGGGGGACCCATGCTCCTCAGATCCTTGGAGCAGCCGTGCTTCAAATGGCTCAGGTAGAGGAAGACTGATCAAAGGGGAAGTCAAGATAGGGCCCCAAGGGATCCAAAGTAAAGCAAGCGAGGAAGAGATTCCTCCTGCCACCGTTGGCCCTTTTTGAGAAGTGGAAAGGGAAACCAGGAGTGGAAACTGTACTTGGTTCTCAGACGTGGCACCACAAAGCATTAGCCACAGGCTTCCTCAACCAGCTCAAGAATTTCCTTTTACCTCTGCATTGACTTCAGCAGAACGAGCACAATGTGGCCAACGTGATTCTTCCAGGAATTCAGCATGGCTGCTCCAGCTGTATCCTCTGGGTCCGTTTTTTTTGCTGGACAGCTATCTTCTGCCCTATGTTGTGCCCATAACTCTGTAGGAAACCCTGCTGTTCCCTACAACCCTTCCATGCTGTTCTGCACGGATGGGAATAACATGT